TCCGAAGATTGCCCTGAGAGTCCATTTTCCTCGTATAAAAAATACATTTAATTTTTTTTTTACAACAGACCGACAAGAGTAAGGGGTATACTTTTTTTGAGACAGAAACGGGTGTGAACAAAATATCTCGATCATTGCATATATGTGCTTGATAAAGGGGCCGAGCAAGGGACTTTACGCAATCGTACATATTAGGCCTAATTTAATGTTATATATGCTTGTAACTGTAGATTAATCATGTGTTGATAAATAAATAAATAAATGAATAAATGAATGGAAAAGTCAACAATGACAAAATATATATAAATCTACTGCAGGTGGGTTATCGTGTTTTCGGCACTTTAGTAAACACTCAGCTTAATTAATAATCGGTATATATTACTACAAATATAAGATGTTTTAAATAGTTTAACGGAAATAATTGAAAATATATTACCAAAATTAAGTGTAAATCGATAAAATGAGTAATCCGGGCTCGCTACCCATTTTAGTCACCTTGAAAAGGACAAGCGGCGATAATGATGGATAAACACAACATTTTAAGTTAAAACTTTCAGTGAAGGCAAATCTTATAGTAATAAACTATGTCCGTAAATTTCATGAAGAAAGAATGTGTATTTATTCCGTTATTGTCAAAAACACGGTTTTCAGTTTCGAAATTCCCGGCCGGCTCGGCCCAAGTTTCGGTACCCATTTTAGTCGCACTACAGAAGAGCGGAAATGAAGAAAACCACCTGTCTCAGTGTCTGGATGTATAGGCCTAATGATGGAATTCAGAACTTTATTTTAACAAGGATTAATTCACGCAAGTATTTAAATCAGTCCGATTGATTTGGCGTGTGTGAATTATTCCATTAACAACACAAAATGTCCAATTGGAATTCTGCAGTCAGTGTCTGAAGGAATTAGTTTTGTTTACATCATACATGTCAGTGATGTAAGTATTAGCATGCTATGAACTTGGTGGTTATTTCATGCAAAACGGAATCAAGCTCTACATGATAGATATTAGAGGAATATACATGGTCAAAAATGAATATAACTTTTATTAGTTTTCTTAGTCTTACTCAACAGTCAATTTAGGGAGGAGGAATATCTGTCAGGGTGTCCCATGTATCAGTAGGGTATGTCACATTGTGCCTGTCTAAGGTTAATCAAGGTCAAGTTCAGTTAATTTATGGATTCTATAACATTAGGTCTGTGCGAATGAGTTCAATAATTAATCCCTGCATGTACTTTTATGGGGTACTCACAACTTGTGATCCACCCTTGTGACACAAGGGTGGATCTTAACAACTGCAGTGATATATAGATGTGAAATTTTTATTTTCCTTTTAAAAAACTGTGAACCAAAAATTATCACTTTGAAAACAGAGTACCAATCATACAATATTTATGGAAATACCTTATTGAAGAGTTACTGTAGCTCCAAAGTTTTTTTTTCTAATTAGGTCAAACATGAAGGCAAAGGTCAAGGGGTCAGAAATCAAAGCATGCTCAGAAATATCTTGCAACAGATATATTAAAAATCTTTCTCTTCTAAATCAAAGTCATAAGGAAGAATTAATATTTATGAAAAGTATGTCATACTTCAAGGTCAAGATAAATTGGTAAAAAATCATGATAGTGTAATCTGTATTAAGAAAGGAATAATTCGCACAGGTAATACATGTATAAGTTGAACAAGTTGAAAGCCCTATCTCATCTCATTCAAAAGACATAACCAAAGTTTAAGTTTTTGTGACATTGATAAGCCGACCATTTAACTGATGAATATTAAGATTTAATGTCCTCTCTTATTCGCTAAGGTGGGGGACAAAAATCAAAAGAACACATCAAAAGGGATTAACTGACCTTGACCTGATAATGCATATAGATGCTTTCTGTAAAAATAAACGTCTTCTTACAATAATTTAGTTTATAGTCAGAAAGTTTAAGTATCATAAGAAAAAGAAATATCATGTTTAACATACATGTAGATCTATTTCAATGAAAAAAAGTGATATTGTCAGAATGGGATCAATATTGCCTGACTGCACCTTGCAGGATGAAAATTTAGTTTTAATAATTTCAGAACTTCTTTTTTTCTAATTAGAAACCAAAGAATTTTTGATGAATTCCAATTATATATTACTAATAATTTATAATGTACATGATCTATGTACAGATGTAAAGCCTAAATTGATTCGTTATCCAATGTAGATTTAACAGTCGAGCTGGTTGATGACAGGAATAAACTTTAAAAAATTACTAGTAGTAAATAAGGTACCGTAAAGGCGTAGTACATGTATACATTGTCTTATTTAATCATATTTATTGTACCTGCTTTTTTGGCTGATATCAAGTGGTTATTTCAGCTTTTTTTTTTAATTCAGACAGAGTAGCATAGAGATGCAACTAATTTCATTTTTCATAATATTCATTCATCCATAAAAATAATAAAGATACCTAACCTAATGATAAAAAAGAAGAAGAAATCAGATTGGTGATCAATATCTAAAGACATGATGGCGGATCTAAGGGAATACTGTAGGTTGTAATATTTTCATTCGTTTATTGCTTTTCTCATTTACCTAAGACAAAGCGACATGAGATATTTGTCTCATCTTTTTTAATTATGATTATGGCTAATTGATTTCAAACATTTAGCTTATAAGTCATGTATATAGTCTAAAGTTATGAGTGGTGGATCCAAGGGGAGTTGATATTGAATTTTTAAATAATTGTGGTGGATCAAAGGATACTAATGATTTTTGCAAATTTATTTCAACGTTTAGTTAATATTTCTGTGTGTGATCATGATCTTAACTAAGAAGTGGTGGATCCAACTCCAAGGCAAGTGGATATTAATTGTTTTGAAAGCCACAAGAGTTGTGGTGGATGTAAAGGGAGTAGATAGATATTTTAATGGGTCAAAGGATAATAATGATTATGGTTTATTGATTTCAAACATATAGCTTTTATGTCATGTATGTCATGTGTGATCAAGATCTAAACTTATAAGTGGTGGATCCAAGGGGAGTGGATATTTATCTTTTTTAATTATTTGTGCTTGATCAAAGGTTATAAATGAATTGTGATCATGTCTAATTTATTTCAAACATTTAGCTTTTATGTCAGGTGTGAACATGATCTTAATTTAAAAGTGGTGGCTCTAAGGGGAGCGGATATTATTTTTAAATATTTCTGATGGGTAAAAGGACATTACTGATTCCGGCTAATTGATTTCAAACATTAAACTTATATGTCATGTGTGATCAAGATCAAAACTCCTAAGTGGTGGATCCAAGGGGGGTGGATATTTATCTTTTTTAAATATTTGTGAATGATCAAAGGATATTAATGATTTATGATTATGGCTAATTTATTTCAAACATTTAGCTTTTATGTCAGGTGTGAACATGATCTTAATTTAAAAGTGGTGGATCTAAGGGGAGCGGATATTATTTTTAAATATTTGTGGTGGGTAAAAGGATAATAATGATTATGGCTAACTTATTTCAAACTTTAATCTTACATGTCATGTGTGATCAAGAACTTAACTTATTAGTGGTGGATACATGGGGAGTGGATATTCATATTTTAAAGAAATATTTGTGGTGTATCAAGGATATTAATGACTATGCCATAGTCATTAATATCCTTGATATGGCTGATTGATTTTAAGCATTAAGATAATATGTCATGTGTGGTCATGATCTAAACTGATAAGTGGTGGATCCAAGAGGCATATATTATTTTTAAATATTTGGGTGAATCAAAAGATTGTAATAGTTGTACTTTGTGATATATAACTGAATTGAGTTCCATTAATTAAATATGTAGATACATTGCACATGAATTAAATAAATTTAATCTTATTAGTGGTGAATGCAAGGGGAATGGAGATTTTAAAAAAAATCACAAACTAGACATATATAAACCTAACATATATAAATATACATTAGTTAAGGAAAGAGACCCTCTTTGGACACTGTGAATTGGTTGCTATTGTGTTGGTATTAAATTTTCTTGTTTCATTTATTAAATATTCAGATTAATCATGTTAATTGTCATTGATCAAATAATCTGTGAAGAGTTTTATGATGAATGTTTCATTATGGGAGGCAACTGCCTTAGAAACCTGTTTTCATATAAATCTTCTTTTACATAAACAAAAATTTTAACTTAAAATTTAAGAATGAATACTTGAAAATTTGAAAAATAATAGATATTTGTTATAACTATACACTTTTATAGAATGAGAAACAGAGAGGATACTAATGATCCATTAGTCTAAGAAAAAACCCCAAGTTTTTAGGAATTATCTCACAGTGAATATATAAATACATGGGATTTAAAACCCCATGACAAAGAAACGTGGGAGAAAAAACCCCATATGACAATATAAGCAACATATGGGTTTAAAAAACCTACATTGATTTTCGTGGGGTTTTTTCCCCCATGGGGTGAAAAATAAACCCCATGGGGTTTTTGTGGGGTTTTTTGTGGGGTATTTTTAAGTTCATGTTTCCCCATGGGATTTTTGTTTTTGAACTCAAATATCTCAAAAACTAGCAGAAAATGTTGAATTTTTTTTTTCATAAATCAATTTGATTATAAAAACCCCACCATTTAAAAAAAACCCTAAGATGATAGCTTTAAAGGAAAAGGGTGCGCAAGTTCGGAAAAATGTCCATTCCGAAGTTGTCCGTCCCACTGTTAATTATAGACCAATATTTTAAATTTCAAGATTTCATGTTTAAAGCACGAAAACTTGATCCCTTAAATCGGATATTTACTATCTTTATCATTTAGACATTAATCACATTTTATCATTCACATTCACTTCTAAAATATGAGATTTCAAAAAATTGTTAATTTAATGTAACAAAATAAACAGAAAATTTATTTTTGATATTGGTTTTAAAATATGAAGGGAAAAACTGACTTTGAACAAATATTTAGTTTCTCCTTCATGCCCATAACCCTTATATCTGTATTCATACAGTATGACTTACCTCAGTTTCGGATTGTTATACATGACCTCGGCAGCAACGTAGAATGGATAGTACATAATGGTATCAACCACGTGGATGATTCCATTGATGGCAGGGATGTCAGGTCTTATGATGCGAGTCCTCACATTGTTGTTTGTAATGAACACTGAAAAAGAAAGAGAAATTGAAAGAGTCTTAAGATAATACTTTAGAGCATTTATCAATACATGTACTTGGATTAACTGAGATACAATTAGTTGATACATGTACTCGTATTTTGAAAAACTGTATCGAGTTGTTCCTTGGAAAAAAATACATAAATTAATCATAAAAGAAAACTTTAATTTTCGTCATTCTAAGAGCTTACATCAAAACATTCCTCTCTGTGTAAAGTTTCATTGAATTTTAAAAATCAATTTGAAAACTGTGAGAAATAAAAAACATGAAGAATTAAAAAAAATAACTTTAAAAAACTTTGATTTTATAAGTTACCATCTGTAGAAATTCGTGTTATATGTAAAACTTCCTCCTCTGCCTTCATGCTTATTCCATCATAGAGATCGCTGGTATATTTACTACCAGTTGATGTAACATGTGCTTTCAGAACCTGTAAAAATATTATTTTTTATAAATTAATAAATTTCCTCTGGATTGATAATAAATGATTGGTAAGATTATCAAGGGAAAAAAATAAAGGAAAAAAAATGAAATTATTAATTTGTTTGTAATTTCACTTTCCACTTTATTTCAAATTTTTCATTTTGAAATATATTTTGAGAACGTACATTTTGGAATAAGGTTGAATTTGCGAATAGGGTATCAGCACGTGACCTAGGAATGGCGGAGAAGGCGGTGTTGATTGGAACAAACATTGTAAAGTGACTGTCTTCATTCGTCAGTGCGTGAGACAGTTCCTTCATTCCTTCCAACCGCAGAATGTTAGATATGGAGCTGAAACAAAATATAAAACCGTTCTAAAATTAAATCAAAACTTACTGTTTCAATGTCGGATACTTTTCTGTTTGTATAATTATTTTTTTTATCGACATGATAGACCTTTCTCTCTGCAGTTATATCAATGTGTAATTTTTGTTCTTATCTGTAAATTATAGTGATATGAATATCAACTGTGTCAAATGGTAAGATCGAAAAAGTACACTCGTGAAAAGGGTGCCTATTTGAATTTATGTTAAGAGTCATGGGTGTAAAAAAGGAACTTTGAAAAGTGTGTAATTTTGAAATGGATAAAAAAAGAATCTATTTATTAACATGCATACAAGTATCTGAATACGACTGGCTATATCCGATAAAAATATTAACTAGCAATTCTATATGGATGATATAAGTTATATATTTGAATTTTAACAGCCGTCTAACGGAATGGAAAGCTGAAAATATCATACAAATGTTATTAAAAAATATTAATTGCTATTTTCAGATTGAATTTCAAATAAATATATCTGCTATGGATGTTGATACGTAGTAATGTTCTAGATTTGAGGCATATATTAACTAATAAAAAGCTCCTTAAGTTGTAAATGTTTCACCATACTAATCAGAAAAAAAAACCTATCCAGCTTCTAATTTGTTCTTTTTCTAGACAATAAAAGATTAATTTTCGATGTTCTTTTTACGTATACACAGACATTTCTTTAACGCCTAGCCTTCATTTTTCCAAAAGTGAAAGGGTGTTTGAAAGTGAAAATAATTCATCCAGCCTTATGCTTATACATATACATGTACCTCTTACATACATTTAACATTAATTAAGGTTGTTAATTACAAACCGTGAGATTTTGGTGTACACATACCACACAATATGATTTAATACCTATATACGTACAAAGTAAGTACAGTGTAGTAGCGAGTCTACAAGCTGTGTCTAGAAAATCTTACAGGGAAAAGCCGTTTGATGGGGGCAATAATGTGATGCTAACCCAGCCCAAAGGACGTTTAGTGACAAGCATTACAATCAATCAAAAGTTAGTACTCAAATTCCACCTACGAACTAAAAAATGAATATTTGAAGTTCATAACTATAAACGATTATCTGAAATCTCTTTTTTTAAATTGACAAACATTTTCTTTTTATATTTTTTCCTTTTTGTAATCAAAAAATAAAATATTTATTTTCCTAATATAAGAAAAATAGGTTTTCAAAAAAATGCATAAATTAAATAAACTATAAAAAATCAATCAATCAATAAAGAAAGATATTGCTTAATCAAAAGTTATCTTTAACCTGATTTTTAGAATGCGACCTCCAGGGCTGTGACGTTTTCAATCACTCTTTTTTCACAGTTGAATCTGAGTTTGATTTACTTTGTTGAATATGTTACGATAAGTAATTATTTTTCAAACGTCAGATGGTTAAGTCGCTTTTCCCTGAAGACAATAACTATAAACCTTTACATACTTACAAGGAACGATGCACCAAAATTCGGCACGTTAGTAAAAATTCTTTGAATACACTATAAAACACATATAGATTTATCTATACATTTGTGAAATGAATAATATACACTTCTACTCACTAAGATAATATTTTGTTCAATGCAAAATACAACTAATAAAGAGAATTCAAACTCATCTAGTTTTCTTGCTATGTGTCACTAATAAATGTCACCGAGTTAGCATTTTTTTTCTTTTTTGCTTTATATCAAAAAATTTATATATATATTTCATATATAACGCAACAATTTTTTTTCCAAAATGTAAAAACAAAATACTTTTCACACATTCAAGTTATTTAACAATAATATGAAAACACTAACTCTAGCTTTGATACGCTTTAAAAATATTTTTTCTGCATGTTTTGTGAAAGTTCAAGTCAAAAAGCACTCGAGTCTGACAATTTTAAATATGTACATTAAATATACATGTTTTGTTCCTCGGAAAACGCGTGCACAGTGCACTTAACAAAAAATAATAATACGCATGCGTAACAAACAAAAGCAGATTTTACACAGTGTTTTATAAAGCTTTATTAAAAATGGAAACCATAAAGTTCCTTCACAAGCATGCAAGGTGAACAATTTAATAATGAATACAGCACAAGAAATACCTAAATAAATACAGAATAATAGTATTACATAAAACTTCTTCACTTTTCGTCACTGCAACAATCGACGTTTTCCTTGAAAATATTTTTACATAGAAGTATATTTTTGTAAAATACTAAAGATTTAAAATGTATACATTTTATAAAAATGTATTGACATTTTAACTCCTGACCATACTAATGTAGAGAAGTATATATTTTTGTAATACAAATTCAAAAAAAATCCTCATCAATTTTAAATTAATAATTTTCAATTTTCTAACACATATATGTATATATTTGAATGCCTGTATAACTTTTTATACAACTACAACTTTTCAAAGACAACTTCAAAATTGTTTCAGTGACACACAGCATAATGATGACAATTTTCATAATTTTTACATACATACCTAACATCTCCATGCCGGGCCAGTTCGTCCATTATATTTCTGGTTGGGATGTGTAATACGTTGTCTATGATGTGTAACACGCCATTGGAACACCAGATGTCCTGAGTGATGACTTTAGCCATGACATGACTTCCCTCAACAGTAAATGCTACACGAAATATGAAATCCATTACAATATGTTATAATCACTTATATGTACAAGTCCACACAATATGAATTGCAGACAAATTTGCATAGATAATTTTTTATCTAACATTTTCACCCTCTATAAAAGATGTTATATGTACAAATATGTCGTATTTTACATTGATTTTGGGTATTTTGAAATATGCTTAATGGTTTTTTATTTGTATATATAAAAAAGCGTTCATTTACAATATTTATTTAGCATAATTTTCAAGATATTTAATATAATATTTAGTAAGCATAATTTTCAAGATATAAATACCGTTATAAAATGGGTAACATATGTTACAATGTAAAATATTTTAGAAGTATGTTTTTCTTATTTTAGATGATGGATATATTCTGATAAATATATGTTTTTGTGATACATGTATATTTCTTTGTCAAACAGTTTACAAAATTAACTTTTTCACTCTTTTTATTGAATCATTTGTTTACAGAACTATAAAGTTTCTGATCCTCTCACCATTGTCGACATTGGTTATTTCCACTCTCTGTCCACCAAATGTATACTTCAGCACAGTACTGTAGATTTCTGTTGATGACAAAGCTTCGCCTTCAATGATATGTCCTCTTAAAGCCTAGAGGAAAAATTGAAAAAAAGAAAAACATTAATGGTATTCCTGACTAATAAATTTAAGGAATTTAAATCATAAGAAATGAGTTTTTTTCAAAGTTTACACAAAGATGTAAAGTGGGCATTTAAATTTTAATATTTTTTCTCTCGGATATCCAATAATATTTATATGGAGCAAAATTAAGCTTTATGTGATTTATTTTTTTTCTTTTTAATAAAGTTATCTGTGCTTGTTGTATGTCTTCCTGCTAAAGATGACTGTTAATACCTTCAGTGCTTTTTCAGGTTGCTTCTCAAAGATATTTTTGCGGGTGTCATTGCGCAGACTCATGATTGTAAGGTCAGAGGGCATGAACACCGTCACTTTTCCGCCAAGACTTGTATCCCCAGAGAGAATGCCCTCCAGGACAGTGAAATCCTTCAGCATTTCACTAATTCTTCTGTAAAAGGGTTTACATACAAATGTTTAATGATAGAATCATTCACCAATAAACAATGAGAAGGTATGTTAAACGTTTTTGTATTCTTTGTTAGATTTTTTTCGCTTCAATTCTTAACACAACTAATCGCCTTTTGCATATTCTAGATGTAAAGGGTCTTGAATACTATCTCAATTAAATCTGAGAAAACCCAATTTTGCAAAAAAATGATTGATTTTTTTTGTGCTACTGAGTACAAAGGTTGTACTGTTTTTCATGATATTGCACAAAAAATAGATTTAACATATAAAAACATTGCTTCATATTCCTTAATAGATTTTTCATTTCTTTTTTATTTTCACATAACTAATCATATTTTATAATTTCAATCAATGAAGGGTACTGAATTTAATCCACATAAATGATAGGAAATCTTTTCTTAGACATATCATTTTTAAAACTTACAGCAGTTGATTGTTTCCCTTGATTGCATCTAAAACTGTGAATTGGTGCAGACGGAGCACGCTGGACACAATATGTATGACACCATTCGTACATCCTATATCTGCTTGTACAATTTTTGCCAGTATGTTGTCATGTTTTACATAGATATCTAAAAAATACAAAAGGTCATAAGAAATGATAAAATTACAACTGAGCGAACCAAATTTTGAAAACAATGATGCAGTTTTTATTTCTAATTAGTACAAATAGTGAACCCTTTTTCATGATTTTGTACAAAAAAAGATTTAACACATAAACCCTTGTTTTATATAGTGAACCCTTTTTCATGCTTTTGTACAAAAAAAGTTTTAACACATAAACCCTTGTTTTATATCTAAATATCTGTTTAATTCAACTTTAATAGTAATATTTTTCACATTTACCTTCTGACAAAATATATAAAAGACCTTTCAACAAAGGATATGTTACGTTTTTCATTGTACAATATGAAATACTGAGTAATATACATGTTATCTTCTCTAACGTTTGAACGACCCCTTACCTCCATTAAACTTCCTTATGGATAGGGTGAAGTTGTTGATGGTTTTAAATGTCTTGCCATCAGTAAGATCAGAAGAACTAAGATCCAGGCCTTTGACAATATGTGATCCCAGAACCTAAATATTTTGTTTAAGTTCAAATTACTTTTATTACAGTAAAACATTACAAAAATGTTTAAAATAAGAAATAAAGATCAATCAATGTAGAGAATTTAGACAGATTTATGATGTCATTTGAATTTAAAGAAAATATTAACTAAATCAACTTTTTACTGACATTTTGGAAACATTTAAAATTACTTATCTATTACACCCCAAAGATCATAGACCTGTCTTTTGATTTGTTATATTTCAAAAGTTCAAAAGTTATATTGATTTGAAATTTTGAATTAAGTCTGTTCTCAAATTAGATTATGGTTTTGGATTTTGACTTAAGTCTGTTCTCAAATTAGTCTATGTTCTGGGGAAATTTGACTAAAGTTTGTTCTCAAATTAGTTTATGGTCTGGAATTTTGACTTAAGTTTGTTCTCAAATTAGTTTATGGTTTTGGATTTTGACTTAAGTCTGTTCTCAGTATATGGTCTTGGGGCCAGGCCTACCTCGCTCCTGAGTTTATCGTCCTGACCCAGGCGCTGCTGGAATGTCCTGGGGATCTTAGCGAAGGCCTCATTATTGGGGGCAAAGAAGGTGAAGGTTTCTGAGGTACTCTGAATGTGGGACAGGAGGTCCCCAGGGATTCCGTGGAGGTGACTGGCAAATATACTGGAATAAAATTTAATATTGTGAGAAAATAACGACAACTGGAAAAATTGAACACATAAGTGTAAATGGATAATTTATGGCGTACCTTTTCCTCAGATATATAAAGCATTTTAGTACTCTCGTTATTAGGTAAAGAAAAAAGTATTTTAAAAATTCAATTTTTGGACTGCTTAAATTACTTATTAACTAAAACTATTTAATGATAGATAGGGGATAAGGTAAGGCGGTTGAAGTGAATTCTTTTTTGTCAAAAAGCACAAAATGAAAGAGAAATCTATATTTTCAAAAATATTTATGTGCTTGTCAAAAAACAATTCTAAATGATTGAAAGCTGCATTTTTATAAACATTATGTAAACTTTTTAAAAAATCTATTGGATAAGAAGAAAATGTAAGCCATTATTTAAAGAAGTCTACCGTGGGGAAAAGAATTACATGTCACTGAATTAAAATTTATTTTTTATTAAAAAAGCCAGATACCTACCTCAATGCCTGAGTTGTGTTAGTTCTGACAAACACTGTTTTATATATGAAGTACAGAATATGATCGATCACGTGGACAACGCCATTAGCAACGGGAATATTAGGAAGTACAACCCGGGCGCGGATCCTGTTATTTTGAACATACACTGTAAAGAGGGAAGTATTCTTTTTAATATTGTATGATTAAATACTTTGATGTGAAAAGAAAGATTAACAAATTAAGACCTTTCCAATTCAAATCTCTAAAAATATATTCGTCATTGTTAACTTAATTTAATTTATTTAATTAAATTAGTTTCATTATTATATATGTCGATTTAAATTTTCCAACAAAAAAGTTTGATGAATGATTAAAAACGTCTTTGAGATCTTTGGAAAAATTGTGCCATATTATTAACGTATGTACCATCCTCGCCCTCCCTGGTAAAATGTAAGGTTCCCCGTTTGCTCTGTAGATCTTTCAGTTCCCCTCTCGCAGGAATAAACACTATCTCATCCTCAACAATATGGGCATGGATAGTCTACAAATAGAGATGAAAATGTTAATTAGGTTTCAACACAGATACCTGTAGATAAATTGTATTTCAATAATTACATTGCAGAACTTGAAAATTATAAATCTTATGCCAAGATTTTTATTTTCGAAGTTTGCATAAAACGTCAAAGATTATTTAATGCAATGCATGAATTAAGGCGAGTTCATTTCTCAGTTTTTAGATTAAACAGAAAATAATAATAAGTCTCTGAAACATGGAGAATAAATCATATATATATATTTTTTAATTTAAATACTGATGACTCAAAAATCTTACATATTTTAACAGAGTTGTGTTGAAAAATAAAATATCCTGAGCGTAAGACGGCATAGGGAACAACACAGCATCCGGTGGAACAAAGGACGTAAACTGATGCTCAATATGGTTGGTCTTCGCCTTCATATCCGGGTCAATGATTGAGGCCCGGGCAATGGACCTATAATATGACAAAAACAAACTTATCTTTAACATTCATTTCTTCACAAAGATATACATGTAGGGACAAGCTTAAAATAGAAAAAAAAGTTGCAGATTTTATCAAAGAAAGAAATGAAATGAAATTCAAATTTCAATTTTTATTTTATATATTTGATTTTTTTTTTTGACATCTCAATTATCTTTTTTTTCTTTAAAAATCCTTCAGGCAAGTTTATTAACTGCATTTCTGTAAAGATAGAACTAACTTTGTAGTATCGAACGCCTTAAAACTACAGAAAAATAAAGAAAATATAAAGAACTTTTACAATCGGTTATCCTCTAAACTTACTGAAACTGGTATCCGGGCAGATCCGGATAGAGAAGATAGTCGTGTAAGGTTTTTGCACTAGACACTGGGGCCAATATCCGGTCTATAATGTACAGGATGCCATTGCTGCCAACAATATCCCGCACCAAGAGTTCAGCGCCATTTACCGTAAAAATCTGGGAAGGAGATGAGGTTTAAAGAAGTTAAACATAACGTTATATAAATTTAAATTATAAAGATTGATAATTTTTTTATACAAAAGATTTTTGTAAGTTTTGAGTATATTTTGAAAACCAAATTTATGCTGTTAAATTCATCATTAAAAAGTACATGTATAATGTAAAAAAAATTATATATATCTGACATATATAATTCACATGTAATAAGTTCTTCAAATAACAACTGTAAATTAATTTCTTTCCTCCATTCGTTCAGAAAAAAAAATGAAGGCATTTAATGATAAGAAAATGACCTTAAAAATTTTAAAATTTACACATATCATGACGTGAATTTGAAAGGTCAATTTTCCTTTACACCAATTGAAAGCCTTTTAATAAATATTACACAACCGAAAAAAAAAAATTAAACAATTTTAATTTTTCTTTTGACAATGAAATAAACTTTAAAATTTGTCAGGTGCGCTCTCAAAAAGGCGATTTTTATGTACTCAGCATTTAAATTTGACACACATGGCAAAAACATTCGCGATATTTAAAGAAAATTTTGTCAAATATCCTGTATATGGGGCATTACTGTCACTTTTATCTCTCATGTTATCTGTCATTTCGAAGGTTTTCATTTAAATAAATGAATCTAATTTCTGGAAATAAATGAAGCTCTAAATCATCAAAGTTTTAGTCAAAATTAATTTAAATCGTAATTTGATTTATGTGAAGACATACATCTATTTACCTTGAAAAGTAAACATGGTAAAGAATTGTTTAGATATTCGAACTTAAACTTTGCTCTATAAGTAAACCTTTGCTGATTTTTACCATAAGGTCATTTTTCTTTCATGTACCGATGAATTCATGAAAGATTATACAATGTAGAATTGGGTGTTTTATTATAAAGACCATCTATAAAGACTGAATAAATTGACTGAGTTATTATTTGTTGACCGACAAAAAATGTTAGGGGGTGATATAACATACAACCTTTTTTTTTTGGTTAATTTATTTTCATATTCTTGTACATGTCGGACAACCGAACTACATGCTGTATGATCTAAAACGTTTTATGAATTCAACATGTTGTTGAAGGTCAATGAACCTTTATTGAGACAATATCTGACGAAAGTAATTTTTGTCATTTTATGAACTCAAACATGTCAAATACAAAATGTATGTGGAATTGCATTCGATTGTTTTAATCCATATACATAAACAATGATAAAATATGATAGAGAATTTTTTTTTACATAAGATAACTTAAACATGTTTATCTATTATTTTGTTGAAAATTTTGAATTAACTCGGAGTACATAAATGCATAATTTCTAATGCTGCTTGTGCTGATTAGCGATATATGTCAAAGGGTGTCAGTAACTACGACGTGTTAAAAATGAAAGTGAATTTGAGAGTTTATATACAATAAATTTTTTTGCTTGTTTCAGTATACAAAAAACAATTTATAGCATGAATATTCAGCCAAGAAATATCATATTATTAACATGATTTTTCTTGGCTGAATAAATCTTATTTCTCTAACTATCATGCAATAAATTTATACTTTGTGTATTATTAAATTGTATATATGTAACATTTGTAAATTTATACTTATGTGTATTATTAAATTTTATACATGTAACACTTGTATTAAGTATGATCATTGACATTGAGAACAATATTATGATGTGTAACTTGGTCATTTATATAACTGTTTATAAAAAAATATTTTGTAAAAAATGTTTAAATTGTACATTTATGTATGTTAAAATGCCCTTCGGGGACCTTGATTGGTAAATAAAATATCTTGTATCTTGTTACATATAACTTGCCTTCTCGCCTCCGCTATGATAGATATTAAATCTCAGATTGTAGTTTGACGGATGTTTAGAGATGATGGTTTGGCCGTCAATGATTTCATTCGAGAGTACCCTCCCCCTTCCTGCAAAATAAAAAAAAACTCCGATAAATATCATACATCTTTTTTCCCTTTACTCTAATTTATTTTCTCAGCTGAAATGCAATTCTTCATGTACTTGTATGCACAAATGACAACTTATCTAATAAATTAAATTAAGTGTACATTGTAGGAAAAAAAATGAAGAAAAAAATATGTGTACAGTTCTACATGTATGAGCGCATTTTTTGAAACATATTCTTCGGAATTTTTCAGCAGATAGCATTTCTGTGCTAAAACTCGATATCAGCAGATGAAGATTATTGCATGTGACAAGGAAGTTAATACATGCAACGAATCTTAGTTTGATGGCTTTGTGCGTATTTTTTTTTAGTATCAGTCAGTATTCAATTTGGAAATAAACATTCTGTTTAACCTTTTTAAAATGGGACAAAATTAACTTCAAAGAAAATTTATTGTCAAACATTTTTGATGATCAAACTGGCGATAATTTATATTCGATGACCTTTAATCATTAACCTTTTATAAATTAGAGCAGTTGTAAAGAGGTCAATTTCATCGAAAACTCGCACAGTATGCATAATGAAAACATTATTCTACTACATGAAATTTTACACTGCAAAATGATGGACGGATAGCAACCATAACAGAATAACTTACAAAAAATATTTTTGAAAGTTCAATGGATTTAAATCCGCCAAGAATTTTTATAGACTTGTAAATATATGAGATATTTGAAATGTCATTCGCTTCATAGGAAAAGGTAAATATAAATAGAATTTATCGCTTTGAATTTAAATTCAAAGGAATACGCTTATAGATAAATAAATCATGGAGCTTTTGAAATTAGAAATTTATTTGAATATGCTACACCTTTCTAATATGCCTTGCAGGACATTTCGAATTCAAAGCGTTTTATAGATCAGAAAGATTTTTGCTTTAATTAATCTAGGCATGTATCTAAAAATTTACTTGAACGTGGCCATTCATCTCCAAATCGACTTTATTTATTCTTCAACCGATCAATGGGTTTTCCAAATAAAGATATATTTTTTTCCTATCTTTATATATCCTCACCATTTAATAATTCCCAGAGAGTTCAACAACTGTACAATTTATACCATTTTTGGAAGAATACCTTCAAAAGTTATGATCCTTTAATTGAGCCATTCAGAATCCTTTAACAATTAATGATAAATACTACTTTTAAGTACTAAAGTATAACTTAATCAGTGTTTACTTATAAACTACATGTATAAGTGTATAATTATAAAATAGAAAGGTGAGAGGGGGGGGTCTAATTGCAACTTCTCAGATCTTAGTGCTCTGTCGAAAAGGCCCACAAAGATGCGATTTTAAATTCATTATGGAATATAAAAACTTAGTTTCTCCTGGATGCATCATTTCAGTTTTGTATAAATGGGATGGTGTCTCTTTCTTTATATACAGCGTCCGTCGGATAAACTGAACCGACTTTGACAATCGCAACTTCTCGGGATTTTCGGACAAGCGGAAAACGTCTTTTTTCCTACATGTAGCTTGCCTATATAAGGCCCGCAATGATGCGATTTGTCGCCCTTGTTTCTCCTTACCGATGTGATACAGCATCAGAGTGGTGACGCTCTCTCTATTATCCAAATCGAGGCCGTATTTTGATTGGACGTTCTTAAATCTCCAGAAGATCTCGGAGGACGGGACGAAGGCCGTGATGTCAGGTTGCTCGTACTGACTTCCAAGGTCATTCTTCAAAATGATGTCGTCTGCCTGTAAAATTCAAAATGTAGATGCAGATATGTTACGGTCGAAAAGTATCTCAATATGTGGAGGGGATGACAAAAGTTCTTTCAATTACTTCTTTTAAACGACGCGCAACTCCCTGATGGTTTTTGTACAAACATCTGCGTTTTCTTTTTCTTTTTTTTATTTTATAAATTTTTTACTTTATTTTTTTTTTGACAAGGAAGCGAGAGAGCCCTTTAAAAGTTGACCTAATGAAATACCATTTTCTCAAATCTCCCTTTTAATTTTATAGTATGTCTAATTTTTGTGGTAAACCATATTTTCCTTCTGGATGAGGAAGAGAGAGAGCCACTTAAAAGTTAACCTAATTAAAAACTTTTTTTCAGCTCCCACTTTTAGTTTTATAGCTTTTCTAATTTCTGTGGTAAACCATAACCTACAATAACATACATGTATATAGTTAATCATCTGTTTGTATTACATACAATCATGTAATATGTTCTTGTAAATTTTTCATTAAGAAGCTTCATTTACAAAATGCGATCCAAAAACGTGTAAATGAGTATACCAAAAACACTTGTGTGCATGTACAAATATCTCAGTACATTGTCCATGATTTAAACATATTGCACGTGCAGAGAATTACATGGAGTTAACATGAAGACAACGCACGGTCCTTGCTCCTTAGAATACTTTTTATGATTCTCTTTTTAGCAATCTTTCTAGTTATGACCCTGTAATTAATTAGTTGACAAGACAAACTTGACACATTAATGTCCGGCCATCATTGCGGTCGCCGAGCCGTTTGACACGTTTAATTGGTGGCCATTCGTTGCTGGTGCCCCGTCCGACGATGGTCAGCGACTGCAGACCACTTTCTTACAATCCGGCACAGCGAAGTAATAGAAACTAAACAAAGAACACTAAGTTGTACGTGCTGTACCATCCACTATATTTTGGTTCATATATGCCAGCTGCCAAAATGTGTACCCCCAAAAATAATAAATATCTAAAAACAAAAGACGGGTCTTCCTAAAATGCTATTTTTAATTTTTGTTAAAAAGAAATAAAAAATGTCAAAAGGAAAGTAATATTGTACATTTATGAGCCTAAGAGAAAGGTCAAATGATTTTTGAGGATAATAAATTACTCTATTACTGTATAGCCACATAGTGTGGGTTACTGCAGTGCGATTAAGAATGTGGGTTGGTTGAAGGGGGAAAATCCTCGATCTTTATTTAAACCCTGTTCTATTCAAAACGATCTGTTAAGAACTGAATGGACATATATAACTATTTTTGTTTATTCTACGGTATCTTTTATATATATTTTTTAAACAGTTTTTTTTTAAATAATGAACATATGCATACATACATAAATTATGTATGATATTACTGTATAACTGAAAGATAAATGTTTAAACTGCAATTTTGCAGATTCGAATCTTATTTTGCGGAAAAATTCTAAATTGAGTGCCAAATTGAAACTGTATGCTGTTGAATGAGTACATCTCATACACAAGCAAATCATGATTGAAAAAGAGTTTTGAATGATAGTAATATATCAACAGGGGTCAAAGAAGACACAGGCATTTTACAATGCAAGAATAACTGAAAGTGACAGCTTAATTAGCGCCATCTGTGAAAACAAGAGAACTTGAGCAGATTTGCGACTCCCTGCGCAGAAGAGCGACCTGTACTGAAAGATGTCGATATAAACAATTAATCAAGGACGAAGGATCTGTCATAACAGATGTCAGAGGTTTATTGTAAGAAAAGAGAAAACACGAATTGACTTTGCTCTTTATGTACAAATATTTTTCTTTCATCGAAAAAGTGGCTTGTGTGTCGGCGAAAAGAGTATATCTTCAAGCAAAAAGTATACATGTATATAAATTATGACAAAAAGTATAATGACCCTGAACCCTGCCGATTGGTTTCCATTTATAATAGTAAAACTGGCTCAGGGTAGAGGGAATAGTACCCATTCAAAACCGACTCCGAATCCAATCTCTTTAAACCCCGCACTAAATCTTTTCTTTCAACCCTAATGTTTGCTTAGAATGTCAAATTGTTAGTACTCTTACTACTCTTCTAGTCTGAAGTCTAAGAATGTACAGTAGCCCTAATTAAGCATATAGTCTTAAATTTAAGTGCCCTTTCGGTTAAGGCCCACTGATGATAACGACCCTGTATATACATCCATGCCACGCCCTGTGGATTAATTTAGAAGGGTGGTGTGGGTCTGAAACCACACTCTTCGTTTTGTGACCAAACAATCTGGTACTGGATATATACTGTAGTATTGTAGTACATTAATCATACGTTAAATAGCTTAAATTCTTTCTATAAAAGTTCCATAAATCTCTTTAATAACCTTCCGTTTTTCCAAAAGTTCTCCATGGGTCCCTCTTCTGAGTTCCACGGGGTTGCCCCCCCCCCCCCCCCCCCCACTCCTCTTTCAATTTCTTTAAAAGTTCTCGAACTTCCACTGATAATCACATGTTTACATTCACTAAGCACATGAGATGTTTTTGAATGAATTGCGGTTAATTTATTTTTATTTTAATGACTACTATAATTATTCTCTAATTAACTTAAATTTATTTTTAATTGAATGGAATGTTGACATTGATTAATTTGATATAGAGCATTCCATTTGAGATGAAGACGTAAAAGTAAGTGATATGTTTTTTGATGTTTTGCGTTAGAATTTTTAATCGCTAGATTTATTACCAGATAAAAAAAAATACAAGATATTAAAACAAGATGAAAACTTTTTTTTCTTGTTCACAAAAAAGTGAAGATTCAAAATATCAACATCAGAATTTACATCAATGCTGTTAGTAATCCAAAGAATAAAAATGCAAACGCTCTCTTCAACATTCTCTCTCTCTCTCTCTCTCTATCTCTCTCTCAATAAACTCTTATCTATCGAAGCACAAACCTGATCAATTCACAAATACTCCGGACAATAAGAAACGCTAATGTGACAGAATTTACAATACAGAACAATAATTCGGTGATAATAAGAAAGGCCGCTATTCCCCAGGGTAAAATAACATGTCATAGTAAACGAGATTCCGTAATTGATTTTAGACGCCTTGTACAACAGTAAAGTTGTCCCTCATTGGGGATAAACTGAGACGGATCTATGATTCTTACATGTATAAATCTTTTTTTTTTTTCACAATCGGCAATGCTTTTTTTTAAAAGAAGGATTTAGAAGGAAAAAAATGAAAAGGAAAAAAAAAATTAACTATTGATAAACCACATAGCACATACCATGGTTAAGTAACATTTTTTTATGTAGCTGGCCATGTTAAAATCGTTAGAGGCCTATAGAGTAACTTTTATTGCACAATGGATACAGATGCTAATAATGTTAAACTCTGCGTGATCCCCTGGATTAAGGTTATATTACGGTGTTTCTGGGGCAATTGAGGACTGTATAGAGTTTATTTCATTGATCAAACTGTCTTTAATCAAAGAGCACGGATGCTTCTAAAAGTACATTTTGTGTAAATAAGATTTAACTTAATGGTCATTATTTACTCCCTTACAAGTTTAAAATAAATGAACTTTAAATACTTTAAAAACTTCAAACAAATACATTGTAAATTTTGCGAAACTCAAAATTTACAGCATTTAGTACGAAAAAACTTAAGTTTAATTGATTTATACAAATTGTAAAATTAATCAAGGTGTGTATAAATATGGCATACTGGGCTCGCGAATATTAAATTCTTTTAGAACAAAAGTTCAGTTTCATATCTTAAACCAAACTCTTTATACACATTTATGCGATGTGGATTTTCATTTTATTTTAGTGTCATATACTGACGGTGTAGGTGTGGAGTAAATACATTAAAACTTCCAACTTCATTGGTTGCGTTTTGAATTATTAAGATGCCTTTAATTCCGTCACTTTGTGGTTGAAGAAAATTACATATATCACAAGACATGTTGCATAAGAATACTTAAATTCATAATTATTATAAATTGTAAGCTAGCTTGTCTGTTCACTGTTAATTTAAAACAAAATGAACGTATAATCTGAAACTCATTAAAACGTTATAATAATGTACACGCTAATTACACGTCTTTTTTCAAGTAAATTCCTGGAGTAATGTGTTTATTTTTGTTTCTTAACATTTTCGCTACACACCTTTAAAAACACTTGTTTGAAAGTACACCATTTTCACAAAATAAACTAATCTGAATCTTAAAAAGTCTAATAATGTACACGCTAGAAATGCTTTTTTCAGTATTAAAAAAAAAAAAAAACATATACATGGTACAAGGTCTTAAACACACCTGTTAAAGTACACCATCTAATGAAGCTCCAGACACGAGAAACAAAGCATTTGAAGAAACAAGTATGCGAGAGAGTTTATCTAAACCCGGAATGTTTCTTTCACCTTGACTAATATGGACCATTTAAACACACCCATTGTCTCCTCTCAATGTTTAACCCTAAATCCTTTTTCGAAAGGCTCATTCAAAATCAATGTTGATAATCAAGTATAAGTATATAGACACGCAGATAGAGAAAAATATAAAAAATATATAATTTTTCTGTAATATTTATGTAAATAAACTTACCCCTCTTAGTCGGTTGATTTCACTAATTAGCTGTCTGATTGTCTTTGATCTGGTAACGTCAGAAGATGACGTAATAAATCCAATTACACACACAAGCACACAGACCAACAGTCCAATATGTCTTTGGCCACAGAACTTCCTTGAACACATCATGGTACAAAAGCACAAATTCTTAAAGCAATGAATTTGAATTACACAAAAACCATGGTTAAAAAAGCAACCTCTGCGTTGTTGTCTTCGTCTTGTGATTTTCGAGTTGAAGTGGTTTCTGAGAAAGTTTATCCCATGATTAACGACAGTGAACACTTAGAAGATTTTCGGGGGAAACGTCACGTGATGACGGCAGAATTCCCCACTGAGACAAATCAATAAAATATATTCCTCGTTACCATACAAAAACCCTGGTATACGTCTATTAATGACCGGCAGTAATTGTAAGAGAAGATCCACTCCCTACGTTAAGCTCTGTGTGTGTCATTAAGGCGTGACCTTGTAATTAGGTCAAATGTACACAATGGACATAGAAACAGTTGTCCACTTCTCCAAGAAATTATCGTTCTTTATTAAAGGATCATTTGTTTGGAATGGTTATTGTGGGCATAAGTACGCCAGCCGAAAAATGATCCAAAAAATATTTGTGTGGAAACGCTAGGAAACACTTCAGTCTAATGGCATCGATGTTTTTCCCTCCTTTCTCCTTTTTCCTCTCACTTTCGGAGTTCTTGAGAAATCCGTGTACGTCTTAGCATCTTCTGCAACGATAATACTTGTTACACTGAATAGCTGGCACTTTTATATATATGGAGCAACAAGCATTTGACATTTAAAAAATACATTTTGAAAAAAAACGTGAAGGTATTTCAGTGTACAAAAGATTTCTTTATTTATTTTTAAACTCTTTGAAACGGACATTTGATCTGAGGTAGATATATAAAAACGCTCTGTTCACCTTGAGATTACATAGCGGCGCTTGAAATGAGGCGAAAAATTCTGCTTTCCGTCGCCATTCGACTAATTACCATGCACTGTACATGATGTCTTCGCAATAAATTGTCTGTTAGATGGCATTTTTTAATTTGGTTTCTTTATAGAATTCAAAGCCATTTAAAGGTGAGTTTGTACCGAAAATGAGAGTTTTGACGCTGAAATTTTATATGATGGGTAATGTTTGTGCAATACGTTCTATCGCACTGGTTTTGATCGGGTCATAAAATTATTATTTATGGGTTTTGGTGTGTTCGGCGCATCACTTCGATGAAAAGAATTCATGCACCCGTTTTCTCTTTTCACTGTTTATCTGTAGATCTTTTACAAACGGGTTTTAACTATCGATGGCGACAAGCAGAATATATTAGCATTCTGGTCAAAACTTATTCAATATATTCAACAATTTCTAAGATAACAATTTAACTGCTTAATGCTTTATGTCTAAAGGTGTGTTAAAATTTATGGGTTTTTCCCTCAAAATCTTTGATTTACATTCATTTTAATTAAATTGAGTTCATCTTGTTAAAAAAGTTCGTTTGTTCTCTAATTGTTGCTTTCAATTTTCCTTAAAAAACAAATACAGATGAATTTAATTTCATGTTCAGTCAACGCAAATCATAAACGTGAAGTAGTCTTGAAGTGTATCAATCTAATAAAAATTAGATGTTTCGAATCAGCTACTGCTTCTCAAAAGCTGTATCGGATTCGGAACATCTAATTTTAATTTGATTGTCAATATAATGGCATAACACAATTACGATAATTTTCTGTTATTTATAATACATATAATATTACACTTGCATTTAGATTGAGTACTTTTAAAGCTGATATGTTAATTAAGAAATCAAATTGGTTCCTCAATTTGGTATACGTATGTACACCTGTATTTAAATATTACTTTGCATGAAGAATGCTTTGTGGCAACGCACTTTGAAAAAATTACGCACTTTGAAAAAATTTTTCAAAGTGCGTAAAATTTTTCAAAGTGCGTTAAATTTTGGACACACAACAACGACATTAAAATTTTTTTCAAAGTGCGTTAAAATGCACATAAACATTTTTTACCATAGAGAAACATTTAACGCACTTTGAAAAAAAGCTGTTTTAAAATAAAAATTACAATTTGTTTTTACCTGTGTTAGAGTAAATCAAATTGTAATAATTATATCATTGAAAATAGCTTTTTTAAATTTACAAATTTGTTTTATATGTATTGATCAGAAAACGAATATACAATAACAAAATCTGTTCCTTTTTTATTGCTAAAATCACTTGTTTAATGTGTAGGTAGCAAATTGAAAGTAGCCCCGCTTAGCTATAAAAACCGACTTTTTAATGCATCAGTAACATTATGTAATTTACAAAATATTTATTTGCTTATATGACGACCCATCTTTGCGGTAAACAAGTATTTCATGCTACAGCCAAATATATGTGTTTTTTTAATTTGATAACGTTTCTTTCAATAAATTTTTTGATAAAATGCATGCAACCTTGAAAAAAATTAAGTACAGTAAAGCATTTAATGTGAGAGAAATTTTCAAAGTAATGGAAAAATCAAAATCGCTCACTTTACCCTTTTTGGATGTAAGAAGAATTATCAAACAGGTTCAATTATTTATCATACCTTAGATCTTTCATACACAGTTTTTCAAAGTGGTTAATATGGTATTTAAGTGAGATTTTAATTTCATATAATTGATTCACTTGATTGCAAGGTGCCACCTTTAAATTGTTAATCAGAATCAAATTGGCTCCTCAATTTGGTATACACCTGTATTTAAACATAACTGTGCATGAAGAATGCTTGATAATTACTACAGGCAATTACGCGTCAAAATCAAACCATAGATATCAGAGAATTAAAAGTTTACTGGAAAAAAAATGGAACCAGGTGTAAGATTTGTATTCAAGTTTAAGTCACGCGCAGCACGAAAATTACCTTCCATTACAAAAGATTGTTTACAAGGGGAGGTAATAGGGCTCCAATCTTTACGCAATCTTATAGGTCAGGTGATAATTTCGAGGTTTATTTAAATCTCTATAAAAATATTGATTTAAGATTCTCTTCTGGTTGACGGCTGTTGTTTGGAGAAATGTCAGGCTTTTGTCGGAGTGCGATAAACACCCAGAAGGAAGAACTCTGGCAAGGAGGTCCCAATCACGAGAATCAGAATTTTTTGTCGATTATAGGGACAATGTTCTTTTATATACATTTTAAAACGTGTTAAAATGGTTAAAAATTAGCAAAGGAATTATATGATAATTACCAAAATTTTTATTCTATCTTTTAAAAATTAAACGTTTTATGACAGGACATATAGTACGAATTTTTATTAATTTTCTCCTAACAAGAGTCTTTTAAAATTATCAATGTTCTGTATTTTATAAGCATTAAAATCTGTAATTATTGTTTAACGATAAAAATTTCAAGACAATTGAAACAAACGTTTTACTGTTTCTTAATTAATAGCAGTAAGCATTTTTTTTTTCTCATAAACACATCAACAGTTTTCATTTTTGTTAGTTTATCAGCTGCAAATCGTGGGTGAAAATCACTTTCACTTGGGCATTGTATTATTTGCACGAAAACAACGTCTGCATTTAGTAGCTATTATTTGATCTCGGCTTTCGTCTATTAGGAAGGCATGCATCCAGATGCCAGAACATGTGTTTAACGACCGCAGCGTATCTGTAGTATGGAAAACATACAACTGAAGCTTGCAGTACAAATCAGTTTGTCAAAGACGAAGTATTTATTTAATTTATGAATGTACGCTTATGAAGTATACATATAAAATTCTTGTTCAACAGCGTTTGCAAAATGGAATTTATTAGAGAAAAATATTTCTATTTATGTGATCTCGTTTAACATTTATTTGAATAGTTGATTGTTGAATTAAAACTAACACTTGCATTCGTAATTGTATATTTAACAGTATTAAATAGGACACAATGATATGTAGAATTCGTGGATTTTCGGAGAGAGAGAGAGAGGGGGAGAGAGAGAGAAAGAGAGTGAGTGAAAGAGAGAGAAAGCACGTAAGATTTAACTGGATAAATTTAACAAAAATGACAGCATTGAATTTACTGTTACATGTATATAGACTGGCATTATTATTTGTTTACAGATGATAAAAGCTGTACATGCAATTTATTTAAATCGGTTTTCATGGACTCCAAAGATTAAATGCCAGGGTATATTGAAAATTCGGCCTTACAAGTTTTAAATACCTGTACTGAAATTTCATATGCAAGTTTATGGTCCATTACAGGACTTTTTTTTGTTTATTACCCAGTTTTATCTGAGTGTCTCATTCCCTGTTTAAAACAGCTGTACATTCATATTATTATTAATCAACCCATAAGATATATGCAATTCAATCCCTTATCGTTGTTATATATAAAAGTTATGGTATAATATGCCAAAATATTTATGCTATAATTTTTACAAAATTTTGTGACAAAAAATAGAATTCTTAGTTCAATTATTTTTAAGTAATTTTTTAACTCAAAAATTGCTAATGAGCTTACCCGTTTCTCTCGCTATATATCCCTGCTTTTAAAAAAATCACACTGTATTAACACACTTGTCTTTTGATGTAAATAACTTTGAAAATTCTTCCAATTATTCTCTTTATAAAAACAACTCAATTCTTCCAAAAAAAAACTTCAAGATATATGAACTGAGAGAAGAAAAAAAATCGACCCATAAATTATATAGCCTTTTGAAAAACTTGTAAAGAGATATTCACAAAAGCCGGTAACTGTTTACAAACATAAGTAATACTGACTAGATCCAATAATAGCGGCCTTCTACATAGCAATGTTTGTATAGGAGATTTAACACAGGTAAAAAGTACGGCCGCTCGCGATTGTTGCCTTTCTTCCGTGTTTTCTTTATTAAGCTAGGAAGGTCTTAAGAGAAAAAAAGAGGACCAGTATTTTGGGCTGGCTTTCTTTCTTTCTTTCCTTCTTTCTCCCCTCTCTCTCATGTATATATGTAAATAAGTTTCTATCATTTTTTTACTTTATCAAAAACGTTACCTTTTAATTTTTCTTCTCAAAGAAAGATATTCCTTACGCAACTAAGAAATGGAGACTGCTCTCTGTCTGTCTGTCTCTCTCCTTACATGGTTGTAATATCTATTGATTGCCATGTTAATTCTGAAGTACCTCATAAATAATATGAGAATCGTCATGCAAAAACCTACATGTTTGTTCATATGGAAATAATTTTGATGGGATTTGGTTGTAATACGCTTTTATAAGTTTGTGGTTGATTGAAGATTCACTTTAATGTTACATGCAGAGATCAATATCGTGGAATAAAGAGGCTCTGTATAAAAAAGGAAGTTCCAAATAATTCAACGATATCTATCAATAACTTCCCTATTTTTTGGTTCCAAATAATTCAACCATATATCTATAGATAACTTCCCTTTTTTTTTTTGGTTTCACTCGATTTGTTAATTTGTAAGTTGTGAACTTTTTATAAAAGGCCTTGGGCTCGCATGCTTTGAAATCCAAGAACAGCGGAAATACAAAATACTCAGCAAACTAAAGAACATGTTTGACCTTAACCAATCATTCTTCTATAATTTAAGGGTTTTTTTAATACATCTTTTCACATTAATTCCATGGCCATTGTAACCGAAGATTGTAGATATTAGGAAAATGTCACCAGAATGTCAATTTCGGTAACATTTAAGAAAATAAGACTTTGTCACTATAATTATGTTTTGATGCATGGATCACAAGATATTTTATCGTGAATTAAAAGAGAGAAGAAAATCAATTTTCTAACATACACGGAATTTGGAATAAAAAAATAGCTGATATAATATTAGAGTTACTTCCCTTATTAACTTCATACGATTGCCAATTCTATAAGAGAGAAAGAGAGAGAATGTTACATCAATATCTGATTCATCAATTCAGTTATTTCGGACTTCAGCAGCCCGTGACGAACTTGAAGAATGGCGTCGAGGGAATCAAAATTGGAATTTAAATTGATAAATATTTTGAGATGACTAATACATTTACATCCTCAAAAGGTTCTCCTGATAATTCTCAGGAAAAATAAAGAAGCAACCACTCCTGTTTCCAAATTTACAAATTATGGAATGCGAAAAAACCCATAAAATTTAAAAAAAAACTTTAAGTAAATGTTTATTCCCTTAAACAAGCTTATTTATATTTAAACGCATTTATAAAATCTAGGAAACAGACTTTAATTTCAAATTCATTAAATTTTAAATTCATTGTTCTGAAATTAATATATTCGAAAGTCTTTAAAATACTAAAAAAAAAAAGCAAAATAAAAATTGCACAATACTCACTAAATATTTTGTATAAATATATCCACGTACATATGCACTAAATGTAAATATGCATCTATATCTTTCAGAAACTTGTCTTAAAAAGACGATGTTAAAGCATAGGTGTCGCAGACTCCTAGCTAACGACTTAAATCTAAACGAAAAACGAAATCCTGGTCCTTTTCTCAAACGTATCATTTATTTTTTATCTTATTAAATCAGGATTAAATTGCAATTTAAACACGGCATCGTGTCTACTCAGGAAAATAAAGTTTTAATTTTGACAGTTCCCAATCCTTGAATTAAAGGCCCCATCTAATGATAACAGTTCCTTTTTAAAACCCACCTGGTGCTGTGAAGGTATTCTTACTTTGCATTGGTTGAGAGAAATGTAACCAAAAACTCTTCATGCATATGCTCTCGCGTGCCATATGTCGCGTTACAAGTATATAATGTATTCCATTCCATGCATGATTTCAATTTTTTGATTAAAAACTTAAATTAAAAGGAATACCTTTTTTATCTAGCACACTTTAACTATCAATTCAATTCTGTCGCGCTCAAGTTTATACTAGTACATGTAATGTATTCCATTTTATGCATGTTTTAATTTTTTGATTAAAAAATTAAATGAAAAGAAATTCCTTTTTATCTAGCACACGTGTATTCCTGATGATTTTAATATTTTGAGTTCAATTGAAAGATATACTGTTTTTTAAACGCGCTCCTTTCAAGTATATAATGTATTCCATTTCATGTATGATTTTAATATTTTGCATGATTTTAATTTTTTGATTAAAAAATTAAATGAAAAGAAATACCTTTTTATCGAGCACACGTTAATTGCAGAATAAACTTTCAGTTCAATTCTGTCGCGCTACAAGTATATAATGTATTCCATTCCATGCATGATTTTAATATTTTGATTAAAGACTTAAATTGAAATTTTTTAATCTAGCACATGGTTGTTCTTGACTAAACCTACAGTTCAATTCGACAAACAGTTTAACATGATAATGGTCAAGATTGTTTACCCCCAACGGTAAAATTATTGTTTCGCTCCTGACTTTAATTATGAGAAGGCCTAAAAATTAACATAAAACGGGAGACACTACATCCAAAAAGTTCAAGACAATAAATTGACCTCTGACCCATGTTTCGGAAATGCTAGAACATGACGCGGATCACTTGACGATTCCGTTTTCGAAAATAACACGCCGTGTCTCTCCCCTTTTAGAAGAAATTCTCTTGTCAATTTGATGTTTTTACAGAAAGGAAGAAGGTTTTTATCGACCATTAAATGACTCGCAGATGGAATTTGGACAATTACAAACCCATAAACCCAGTTTATTTACAAATGTTCTTCAAAATCTGAGTCACAATATTATACTAAATGAAAATAACCAGTTTATTTTACTGAAATTGCCATTTAATTCTTAGGTCTGAGTCATATTTTAAACATGATTAGAGAAATAAGCTTTCTTGAATAAAGCTTAAACTTAAGTTTAAGTAACCAAAGTTATTTCATTTGTTTATCGTAAAAAAAATTGATGTATCTTAACCAAGAATTGCATACAGAGATCGAAATTCATCTATAGTGCCCCCTCCTCCTTTTAGGCTAATGACTATCATTTATTAATTATTCGACCAAACAGAATAAAAAAATATTTTACCTATTTAAAACTAGATTTATCAACGAGAATTTTCACCTGTCATATGTCAAAGAAACCTCTCACCTTTTTGTGTCAAATTAGAATATCACACCTGTAAATCATATTTTAAATTTTGTCAGGAAAAATGTCACTACATAGTTCAGGTGAACTATTTAAGTTTAGGCTTAATTGATTGACACTTGCTATTTTTGCTACAAACCAAGGACAGTTATGTGCAATGCACTTAATTTTTTTTTCTCCTGCAGGCCCTATCCTTGAAAATATATAGATTCGTTCTCTCTTTCGCTATGTTTTTGGCTTATTAAAAAATCAGTCGTGTTAATTTAGGGAGAGAACGTTTTACAAAATATATCTAGCAAAATGTAAGTAATAATGTCTCACCGTATTATTTGGGTATAAAAACAATTTTAAAAAAATATATTCCATTAACCAATATCTTTTTCTGTTGCCAAAAATAATTTTCCAATAAAATCGATCCAGAGACTGCAAAAATGTAGATTTACAGTCATGTATAATAAACATTGTATGATGAAATGCATAACTACCAAAAGTTTTTAATGTAGCGAAATTTTTAGAATTTATATATTGTTTATGTACGAGAGAGAGAGAGAGAGAGAGAGGTTGGTGGGGATGTTAAATTCTCTTGATTGCAATTAATGATTGCAATACATAGTGTACGTAATAGTAATACATACATGAACACCCAATGTATGCACCGGTACCGTATGTATCAATTGAAAATACCTTGAATTTATCAATTTCATAAATAACATAGAAAACAATTCTACATGCATCAAAAGGTTTGACTAACACATTCAGGTTTCAAGTATTGTTATTAGAAACTTTTGGGATGATCATATGCATGTTTCATTAAATTTTAAAACTTTTCAAAACTCCAATAGCACAAAATCAATGTTTTATACGATATTGCTAGCATGAAAAATAATGATTATACACATTTTATCCCATTTTCAGCATTGTTGGAGAGAGAGAGAGAGAGGGAGAGAGGCCAAAGATAGTAAATGCAAGATTTAGTGCACGATGAGAGTGTCATCAAAAACATATGAATGAGGTTGGGACACTTTTCTTTTCAATCCAAGTAAGTTTCAAAACGGATCTCACAAAAAAATCATGCATATTGTAAAATATAGCAAATTTGCACAAGATTTAGACTGCTTTAATCACTAAATTAGATTGGTATAACAGAGAAGATCTGAAACTTATATAATTAATCATCAAGCATTTCGTGTAATGTTCACGGAAAAAGAAAATAACACATTTAAATTTTAATTACATAGAAAAATTCTGTAATCTAATTCTTACCTCAGTATAAGATGTCGCTTTGCCTTTTATCCTCAAATGTCAGATTTTTGGTGTTTCAAGTCGAAGTCACTTGTTTAACAAAAGGTCAAACTATCTCCAAATTATTCTCACCAGTCACGATTAAACAGACACCTTTCATTCATGAAAAATCAATATTCAAAGGAAATAAACACGAAGGAAAGTCACTTTTCAAATAAAAGAGGATAAAAAATCAGATAATGTTGTATACAGTTTAAAAGTATATGAACCGGATTAAAGCCCGGTGTCGATGTAGCAATTAGTCAACCTCTTTCTCGTTCCGGTCTGCTGCTCCTATGCAATAAGTGGATACAAAGGCAATACATTTGTTAAAACTTATCGAAGATGTTATCGGACAGGAAATTAAAAGGAATTTCGTTGAAAATTCAAAATACGGTGGAAGTTTCCTCGGTTTGATGAAGGATTTAATTTGTTGCCCCCAGGGATAAAAGAAAATTTTGCCAGTTAGCGGCATAATCCAGCGAAAAATCGCCGGCGTATTGAGCGGGGTGTCAAGTTTTTGTTATTTTCCCGTTCCGCTCCATGTGGTGCGTTTTAAACAGCTTTTGTGAGAGTAAATTTTAAATAAACTTTGCCATCCTGAAGTGACAACATCCACGTTTATCGATAAAAGTACATCGCTGATTCAAAAACAACGTCTAGAGATTTCAGACCACCTGGTGTTCAGACCAAGGGAAATATAACTTAAAAAACACTAGAATGGAGATGTACAAAATGTAATTAGTTTCAAGTGACACCTTAACGTTCATTTATCACATATTTTTTTATCCACTTTTTTTCCTATATTTGCAATGTGAGAAATTTTTTGCATGTTTTAATTTGTTACGGAAATGTTCTCCATGTGTAAAAATGATTGATGAAGTTTGTCAATTGTTGAAATATTTCACAAGTTTTTTAAAGAAATGTAAACATCATGTTTAATTACATCCTCAATTAATGAATTTAAATATAAGTCTGCTACTGGATGAAGACGATGACAAGAGCATAACACCATAAATCATAGTAATTATCACGCCTGCATGGTATGGTGTACGATTTTTTTTAACTCCTCTTAAAACTGTTAAAATATAGTAACAGTTCCTCCTCTAACAGTACAATGTATATGATTAGTTGGTGGCTAATTAATGGGATGATTACACTGATATTTAATTACTATTCTCATAATTTTAATTTACAACATTTTCTGTGTCATTTTAAGAGCATTGACTTTAGTGATAAAAAAAGTGTTCAAAATTAGTGTGCTTCTGTCCCCAGAGAAGGTGTAAAAAAATGTAAAATGATTCAATAACAGATTTGACTTCAAAATACATATATGTATCTATAGAGTATAGCATAAACAGTGTATCTGCATATATAGAGTAAAGCACTGAGATAATGACAAAACGAAAAGTATTTGTAGTAAAAGAATGTTTGCCAAGGAACTTTCCGAATTAATGAATAGAATTTTTCCCCATAAAATATGAAAGGCATTAAAATAATGCTATAGAAGCGTTGCTTTTAAATGAATATCAAAAGAAATTTACAATCATGCAGTACTGCATGTATATGAGTTTAACATACATGTATGTTTAAACAATTAATCATTTCTCATTGCGTTTATTAATTAATTTGTAAAGCGGACCGATTGCCTAACAACTACATGTACGAAGATATGAATAATTTAACATAAAAAATATTATTCAGGATTTGAATCAATAATATAAAAAAAGGAGCTTTACATGTATCGGATGAATGAAACTGACACACAAAGTTTGTCTTACCCAGTTTAAGAACTTTTCAAGCCTAAAATTCATTGAATTACGTTTACTAAATATAGAAAATGTATTAATTATTCTTATTCATTCGAAATAAACCATTCCAGTCTAAAACCTATAATAACTTGGTTAAGTGAGAAAAAAGAGGAACAAGCTAGCTAACAATGGAAGCTGTGGTAAGTAGACGTATTTTGAACTTTTCACCCTTAGCCATTCCCCACTCCATCACACACCACTCGAAATTCTTTATCCGCCCCTTTGATCAATCCAAATGAGGTCATACATGTATGACTTATGCTCGTAATAAACAAATAGAGAGCGGATGCATGGTTATATGAGCATATATGTCTTATTCCAACATTTCTATTTATGTGGATGAGAGGGTGGTAAATTACGTCTGGAAAACGAGACATTTGTCTGTAATGAGAGAAGAGAGTAAGAGTTATCTTTCTTTGAATAAACTGAGCATATGAAATGGATTGTTAATGAAGTGTATATATTATTACGTACATATACATGTATTTTTATTTTTAAAAAAAGTTTGGAAATGTTCATTTTCACAATGCTTCAATTTTCAGATACTATGCATACTAGTCTGATTTAAGAACACAAAGCTTGACGGGCATATTAATTGACGTATGGTATATTTTGAGTTGGATAATTTTTTTTTCAGAGAACACGTTTATAAGTTCAGATTTAAAGTTACGAGAAATGACAAACTTTGCTATATTTTATTGGTACCATACTAACATTTACTGGCATGAAAGATTCGAAAAAATGTTTAACAAAAAAAAGTTTAATATTGAAATATGCAAACATTTTGATTAAACTGTGTTACAGTTGATGCTACTTAAGTTGGCTAGAGTACATGTTCAATTTGAGGTCTGTCTCCTTAGGGTTGCATAGATGCCGCATGGTGAGCCGAAATGATTCGAAAAAAGATCAGGGATACCGCGCGGATAGGCATTAAAATTGGATTCCCCCAACGTATCATTTGACCTCTTTTGTATAAATTAATTTGGAGAAATGGAGTTCATTTTGCTCATTTACATATCGAAGTGCCATTTTGTACCATCTTTCCTAGATAATTCTGTCAACCTCAATAAAATAATAATCTTTTTCTTCAGAGTCTGTCGGAAAGACATGAAAAATCGATTGATACAATGCCAATGTTCCACACTAATATAATTTTTTATAATTTCAATTCTATAAAATACTCTTCACAAAAAATTATAACTTTAACTACAAGATTTCAACCTGTTTACACATGTAACATTAAAGAATTCAACAAAATAAACAATGCAGTTGATCACGAACCTTCCTTTGTGTGTTTAAAAATTGATTTCTTCTGGAAATAACACAATTGTTGATACCAAAGTGAAAGTTTTTCACAGCCTTCAAGATTTGAAAATTCTAGACACATTATTAATTATTGCTTTATGAAGAACTCTTTATAGTCGGTGTTTTTTAAAATTATTTGTTAGATTACTGAAAATTCATATCCAGCGAGTTTATTGCCTGTAGAGACAACTATAAATGGTTGGGAGAGGGGAGACAGAATGTGTTTTTATAAAACACAAAGGTATTTGATACTTTCTAGGAAGTGAAGAATTATGACCGAAGAGCTTCAAAAAATTTGATCCGTAAATTGCACCTTTTTTTCACAATTTCGTTATGCAAAGACAAATATATAAAACATACATGTAATTGGTGTTTTTAATATTTTTAATGAATGTAAGTGTTTATTGCAAGTTGACAGAGTTCTTCAGCCGATTTATAGGTGCAGAAGAGAGAAGAGTCTATTTTTATAAAATACATATGATTTATCATTTCATGAAGAATTATGACCGCCTTTTTAATTTGAAAACGACAATTTCATGCAAGAGTGTGACCCAAAAGAATTGTATGTTTTTGTTTTTTAGCACTTTTTTAATTGAAGAAATAGAATTTCAGTTTATAGAGGATCTTGTGAATATTAATAAGAAAAAGTCTTGTGGTTGTCAATTTCTACTATTATTTTTGCCTAGGTACATGTAAGAGAAATGCCGAGGCTACCCCCCCCCCCCCCCCCCCCCCGTAGAATTGTTGCTCTATCCTGTTTTCAATTTTGCATTAACCTCACACTAGTAAATTCATAATTGAAAACATGATAGCTCGCAGCTTGAGAAAATTCAGACAGAGAAAGCAGAGAGCTACAGATTCCAGCGTTGTAAATCCCTCCGATTTACTACGCCGCTTTTTCGTCCCTCACTCTCTGTCCAAATTTTAGCAGAGAGCTACAGTTCTGCAACTACCCCCGAGGCTATCCCCCCCCCCCAAAAAAAAAACCTCTGTGATCAATGGATTATCAGTTCGGTCTCTTCCCGAGGAACCGAGTCACAATGGACTGGGAAAATAGAGACACGGAAGTACATGGAGAAATGAATGTACCCTCAGAAACTACTTATCAATACATGTGTAAGTATTTTTGTAAAAATAATGTACATGTTTAATTTTGCTAAACAAATGCATATTAGCACATACTTTGTCCTTAAGACTATCTGCATAAACAACAAGCCATGACCTTGGACATGGTAACTGAGTAGTTGAGGGTTCGCTCTGTAATGGGATTGATTGATTGAATGCATATTGTTTAACACCCCTCTCGAGAATTTTTCACTCATATGGAGATGCAATCACTTGCCGGTGGAGAGCTACAAATTTTGTCCTATACTCGGCATTTAGGGCCAAATGTTGAGCAGGAAGGGATCTTTATCGTGCCAGCACCTACTGCGACACGGGACCTTGGTTTATACGGTCTCATCCGAAGGACCGGTCTCCACGTCCCACAGTGAGATTCGAACCCGCGACGTAAGGATCAACTCCTTACTAGTCTTCGCGACTCTAGAGCAGACGCTTTAACCACTGCGCCATGCGGGCGACCTCTGTAATGGGAAAGCGCAATTTTTGTTTGCTACGTTGCTAGGAATGACTTTCCTTCACCAAACTCCTTGCATTGGAAGTCAAAGACATGAGTGTTGCAATAACAATTTAAATAATGACCACTGAAATAATTATTTTCTTGGTGGTTTAGAATGCATTTCAAAACTAAGTCCACTCTCAACACCTACTGAAATAAAGTTCACTAATTAACTTATTGATTCAATAGTAATTAAAATACACTGTAAAATAAAAACAAACGGTTTTAACAACTTCTGATATAAAATTATAAATAACCTTTTTAAAAAGCAAAACGGGGTTACATCCACGTTGAAATAGTGCAGATCAATTGATTTTACATACATGTATAGTATCATTAAGAATAAGTG